ATATATATATATATACTTATTATATATATATATTATAAGTATATAATTCCTGTAACTGAACAAGACTTATGCCCGACTTAGCGAGAATCGAATACACTTTTAAAAACATCGAATTACAAAAAGAAATGTATACGTAACGAAATAATTACGTTACGTATACATTTCTTTTCGTAATTCAATGTTTTTAAAAGTGTATTCGACTCTCGCTGAGTCGGGCATAAGTCTTGCCGAGTTACAGGAATGTGCTCCAATACACAACATTTAGAATAAAAAACGAAAAGGGGAAGAAAAATCGAGAGACCTTGTCAATATAAATGGCAGTGGCTCGTCCTTGGCAGCATTGCTGAACTGTCGGTTGCCTCGTTGGACTTCTGTTTCTTTCGGCATCCGGCCTCATCGGCGTCTACGTGAGAAGAGATTAAAAATTACGTCAGATAAAATAATATAAAAGTAATAAATGTAAAAAATTATTTTGTGGGTATTATTTATTTTAACTCACATTTCTCTTATTATTTTGCCTTATTAATCAAGACTATTACAAGGTAAGTAAATTATTACTCTTATTTATTAATCGTTATCTATATAAAAAATATAATAATATACATTGTTTAAAAAAATTATGGTATAAACAAATTTTGGGTAAAAATTGGCCAACTTTAGCTAACAATAATTTTGCGAAAAATTATCGTAAGATGATGAACTTTTTTTCAAATAAAAGCTTGAAATCTTTACTTTAAGATATTATGAGCCAATTTTAAATTTAATGCATTCCTACTGTAAACTCTTAAATCTAAGAGTATGTTTGCCATACTGAAAATTGCAAAGTTTGACAGAATGCATGGACTTGTTCAAATTTTTCTCGGGGATGCCATTTATAACGTCATAAAACTCAAATAATTTTTTGAGCAATGTATGTGCAATATAAATTAAATTTTTTTTATATCGCATATACATCATTACATTTATTCTATATTTTTTAATAAAACTAAATAGAAAAATTTATATTCATTATTTTTAAATCTTAACTATTATAATGCTTAATGGAGTTTATTAATTTTTAAATTGTGCTTTCGATTTCGTAAAATTCAATTTCATATTTCAATTTATTAAATAAAAATGTTTACGTATTATTTCTCAAATAAATAAGATTCATATTTTTTAACTCAAGCATATTGTATTTTTACAAATATAACATATACATAAATATGTACATATTCATGCGTAATATGACAATATTTATTATAAAGAAAGAATGATCGTATCTTATGACAGAATAAAATAAATAACAAAAGTCTAATATTTTTTAATAATACAATTTGCTTGCAAATCAAAGACGGGATTTACATTAATCATAGAAAACGTAATTAACGTGAAGCATGACTTTTGCTTCCAAACTGTTAAGGCTTAAGAAAAGCGATATTTATTTCGCTCGAACGTATTTTATCGTAAAGCAAGCAAGAGTAAACGCTGCAGTAGTACAAGCAAATATTACGCACGATGAATGTAATGAAAACGAGATGTGCACTATGCACAGAACGCTGCGAATTGCAAAGTCTGCGTAAACTGCACTGAAGAAAGGAGAGGATAAATATTTCTCTGCGAATTGAGTGTGGGACGAATGCATGCAATAAAATCAAACTTTGGAACTTATTCAAGAGGGAAGTTACCGGAGGAAAGTTACTCGCCATACGATACGATGAATCGTCTAGGAAAGTATACTTCGAGTAGTACATTTCGCCGTTCTTTCCGCCACCGATGCTGTTTACCATATAACGTTCGGATTCAGAAATAAATGTGAGTTTGTAGAACTCAATCATATCAGGTATTTATAAAGCGAGATTTCTGCTTCAAAATTCAAATATATAAAGTCAGAGTGCTAAATTCAGACAGTACGCATGTCTAAAAACGGGACATAAAACGTCTAAGAGATGATGATTGAAACGTCTTTTAAATATCATATTATAAGGCATCTTAAAGATATCTTATGAACGTGCGTACTATTACGTGCTGTCGAGCTCAAAATTCATGAAGTTTTTTCTGTGTGTAGAATTTCGAATCGTGAATTTAATATTTCTTTTCTCTCTCTCTTATTAAATGAAGTGATATAACTTTAGTATGCATCTCAATGATTTACGCGATTCTGTGAATCGATAACTCATAACGGTCGCAGTTTACAATGCAGTGCCCTTTTTTATTCCTGACATTTTTATTCAATTGAACGATATCGCATCGACAGTACAAGATAGCATTACTTTCGGCCGATGGTGCCGCGCATTTCGCTTTATCTTAAACTATCAATTTTGCGGAACCAACGGAGCATTCACCGTAAATATCGCGCCGCGCTTTTTCCCAGTTTTACCTTGAAATCATCGATGGCCTCGCGAAGATCTTCGTCTGAGTATCCTTTCATGGCCTTTGTCGCGACTGGCCCCATGTAGTTGTTTACTACTGCGAATTCCATGAGAGACAGAAAGACGAACACACTGCACGAAGACATCCACACATCGATCGCCTTCACATACGAGACCGGTGGTAGAGATTGCTGAGATTGCGTGTTTTGAGTAGCTGAAAAAAGGTATATATATATATATATATATACACAGGGTGTCCCAGAAAGGTCGTATGTCCTTTCACTGGCAGATTCTAGAGAGCATTCTAAGACGAAAACTCTAACTTATACGAAAATGTCGAGGCTATAATACTTTTCAAATTATAACCGATTAAAGTTATCCTATTACGGCGTCTGAAATTCGCGCGCTCAGGTAAAACCTTAATTTATGGAAATGGAAACATTTAGCCCCCTGTGCTTTAATAATTAAAATTTGTTCTAAAAATTTTTTGACGACGGTCCATCCTAGTCGCGATTCTGGATCCGCCATATTGAATTTTCAAAAAGGCCAGAGTGCTAATGAAAGTAGACATGTGTACCTACAATTTGAATCCAAGAAGAAATTTTTTGGTTAAGCTGAATTTTGGGCCGCAGGGGGAGTGGCTTGACAGAGAATGCCCCATATATATATTATATGTAAATATATATTATTTATTTATTGATTTAAAGTTTTTAAAATATTATCATACTTTATTTTATAATTTTCTAAATGCAAATAAAAATTTAAATTTGCACAATTATCTAAATTAAATTTTAAATGTATAAAAGAGTATAAAATTAATTATATCACGATCAATGGAAGGAGAAGTCGACTAACCGAGAGTCAGCAGTGACGTCACGCCAAGGGTGACCCGTGCCGGAATAGCTTCCGGCTTGATCCAAAAGGCGATCCAGGACATGACGACGATCAAGGCGGATGGGATGTACGTGTGGAACAGGTGATAACCCAGTCTCCGGCGCAGATTGAAGACAATCTGTATGCACGTGAAGTTTCCGGTCGAGTATTCGATCGTGCAGTCGGTTGTGTAGTTATTCGATATGTCGAGTTGCGGTAGCTCGATTTCCGGATTAACCACAAGCGGATCGGTCATGTTCCATAGAAATATCAGATCTTGAGTCGTGTGCGAAACTAAAGAAAAAAAAAGATGTAAAGAGATATAGAAACATTCTTTTATATAATATGTATACCATGATATTAGGAATATAATGTACAAATTATAAATTAATGTATACGTACGGCTTTCAATCATCATCGAACAAATTTGAGTGTCATGAGGATAGGACTCGAACTTCATCGCGCATGAGAGCACCAATGTCAATCTAAAACGAATATTGCGCTTTCCTGTGTAATTCAATTTATTAATGAAATTACATTTCAATTTCTGATACAAGTATATTTTATTCGATAGCGCTATTTTCGCAGTTGTAAACATTGTTGTAACTTTTCTCCATTTTTGTTTCCAATGAAACATGCATTCAGAACAAAGGAAAGTAAATTCATTTTATTGACAATAAAACTTGACAAGACAACACGGCAACTAACTCGCTCCATCCAACATGTTGGATTAAAATCGCTAGCAGATAGGAATAAATGAAGTCGAGATTGCTACAGTCCAAAACGACAGAAACGCGAACAAAGATATATCAATGTCATGAAAGCCTTATGTGCATCAAAATTTCTCAAAGTTTGTACTAAGACTCTTGATTATTTAATAAAATACATTAATATTTTAATTAACATTAAATTATAAGTATTTAGAGACCGTGGAATGTTAACTAACGATTGAGAACTTAAAACGTCAACACGGTACAAAGCGGATCTTGGTGCTTCCATATAATTTTAAGTGTGAATCTTACAATTTTCGATTCATATAACACTACGTGGTCGCAAATCGCGTGCATTTCCGCAGCTCCAAACCAAGCAGTATGTAATATCACAATTAAATTGCCAAAGACAATCTAATAAATCGATGCTCAAAGCATCTATTTTAAATCCTGTAAAATCCCCCTACTCTCATTCAGCATTTATTTGATGTCGCGAGGGTGAGGGGATTTTTACAGGATTTAAAATAGATGTTTTGAGCATCGATTTATTAGATTGCCTTTGGCAATTTAATTGTGATATTACATACTACTTCGGAGCTGCGGAGAATGCGGAGATGCACGCGATTTGCGACCACGTGGTGTTATATAGACCGAAAATTGTAAGATTTAAACTAAAATTATATAGAAGCACCAAGATCCGCTTTATACCGTGTTGGCGTTTTAAGTTTTCAATTAAATTATAATAAAATTGTTGAAAAATTTATTATTAAAATTGGATGTTACAAAAGAATTTCTTAAATATTAATGCCCAATCTTTCGATAATTTCGAAAAAATTTGATAACTTCTAACTGTAAAGGCTAGTTTTTTCTAAACCTTCGACGTATGGCATTAACATTTTGCAATAATTTCATTTACACAAAACTGCTTTTATAATGCAGAAAGTAAGATAAAAAGAATAAGTTATATTTAAAAAAATTATTCTCTCTTTTCTTTAACCCTTGTTTGACACACTGGGGTGTAACACACCCCAGGCCCACTTTTCGTTAATTTGAAGTATGTAACCCTGAGAAAATCGGGTCTATGGCGCCATCTGTTATTTTATTTTTTGTCCATATCACTCATATAACTTTAAAAAGTAAGTTCTTGAGAAGCTATAAAAAAATTTTGAAGTTAAAATATTTAATAGATTATTTGTTATAACAAATGTTTTGTGCTGGGGTGCAATCCACCCCAGTGTGTCAAGCACGTCACGCACAGAAGTGT